CATCCTCGATAGTCCTAAAACCTCTGCCCTCAACAGGCGCCTCCGTAGCAAATGTCTCAACTGCCTCTTTATACCTCGAGAAGAGCTTCTCGTCCATAAATGCATCATACTCTTCCACTATCCTCGCCTGTGAGTCATCAAGCACACCCTCCGCCTTCGCAATACCCAACAGCGTCCCAATATGCGCCAATCGGAACCTCATAATTTGCAGCGCCAGCTCCATTCCATGCGCCCGTTTCAGCTGGTCATATTCATTGTAGATATTGGGAGATATATGGCCGCCATTTCTATAAGTACCCAGAAAAGCGCCGAGGATGATTAGTCAATATAGATACAGAAAGATAAAAATAAACGACGGAGAGATAGTAACTTACCGACCCGTAGCACCCGAACATAGCTCTCTTGCTTCTAGCATGACAGTCCTAGGCTTCACTCCACTGGATCCATACTGCTTGTAGTGGTGCTCAAGTAACGTCTTCGCCACTGAAGCGCCAGTGATCCCACTTCCAATGATCACGATGTCAGCCTCGGTAGGCAGGGGTGCTCCTTCCCCATAGCGTGCATTGGGTGACGGAGGGTACATCCAAAATGAACTTGTCTCCCTGCTCTCCGGTACGCCCGGAGAGAGCGCGATCCGCGTCGAGAAAGATTCATAGTCGCCGTACAAAGTCTTGAGAGTCGTTGCGACGAACGAGAACGTCGAAATGATACCACCCATGATTTAAAATGTGGTGTTAAGTCGTCGTCGATATGTCAGTGTTGTATTATATACCTAGGAATATGGGAAGCTCAGGAACTGAATACTAAAGATGGGGATGGTCCTCATAAAGTAGTGAATAGTCAGGTCTATAAATGTATCTGTTCCTTGGTGTGCCGAAAATAATATTTCTCGTGCGACGACGGCTAAAACAGTAAGATAGACACTGGGAAGGTATGTTCGAATCATATCAATTTCCTTTTATGGTAGATCACAAGATCGACAGTTCGATTTTATTATCTGTTGATTGATCGACTTGATCTATCGTCCGGCAACTCTAGAGGCTAGAGCTCAGGAAAGAAAATCAAACGACAAACGACCGTCAAATGAAAAACAATATCTATGTATGAAGACCAAGCATCGTATAGTACATCTCAAAAGTTGGACTTTATCCTCTTAAACTGCCTTGGTTTTATAAATCAGGACATAAGCCGACGAATCTTCACCTCCTCCCTCCAACGTAGGCAGCTTCTCCTTGGGGAATAGCGAAACCTTCTCATCGTCAAACTTGTACCAATCATCATCGCTTTCCAATTCGTCCAGCTCAGCAGTCGTCGTCACTCCCGAGGTAGACGCAGATGATTCAGCCGCACCTCCACCACTTTTGTATGCTTGGAATACGGATTTCTTGACAAAGCCCATATAATGGCCTGCATCAGCTGCAGCGCCTTTATGCGTGATAATAGCTATTTCAAGATAACGCCGCATGAGCAACGCAAAGGGACAGCAAAAAACACCATGCTCACCAACTAAGTCGTACAGCCCTGTGGGACTGCTTCCGATATCTTTCTTGATATCCTCGCTCACAAGCTCGGAAAGTTCAGCTGATTCCTTTTTACGGAACACAAACTCATCCTCAAACTCAGTCTCGGCACCCTTTGACTCAGCTGGTGCTCCTTCTGTGTTGGCTTCTTGCGCTGTTGCATCGGTCATATCAACATCAGTGCTTCCAGAGGTCGAAGCAGCAGGTGCAGCAGCCTTGGTCCTCTTGCGAACCTTCCTTCTCTCAGAACGTTCCTTCTCAATCCCCTTCAGCTTTCTGCTGGCAGGGAGGAGTTTAGCGCGAAGTTCCTCCGTAGCAAGGTCCAGCGCATCAAACTCGGTAGGGAATTTGACGCGACGCTGTATTTTAGAAATGAGTCAAAATAGCCACAGATAGCGCTGAAAAAAGTAACGCACCATAATTTTGGCTTTCTTTCCAATGTCTTCTCGCCACGCGAATCGGACCATATGCACTGTCAGATAGGCAGGAAGTCGGGTCAACCTTGACTTCTGGCTGTACACGGCCTGACGGCCCAGAGAAGGCGAGTTCTTTTCGACCTTGGTATCTAGAGACTATAAATGACTTAGCATACCACCCCCAACGGAACCACGGAACTATGCCCACATCCATGATACCGGACAGCATAAAGTTGGTGGTAATCGAAATGTTGCATTCGATTTTGAGAACCTGTTCGGTTGAAATAGAAGGTGTTTCATCCGATGCCTCGTCGCAAGTGAGTCTACGAAATCGCGCGTTAGAGACTACGCCTTCCAAAATGCACGGGATATGCTCACGTTCTCTTCATTTCTCCCATCATGTATTGCTCGACAAATCGCTTTCCGCTAGCCTCTGCCCCTGTAGCCACTGACTTGCCCGATTCATCAAGACCTGGAACGTTTCTTAGGGTATTGACGATGGCACCGTAGCATTCCTCAGCATCTGTACAGAGTCAGCTATAAGTGCGGCTAGGGGAGGTAAAAAATGACCTTGCTGGGAGTACATAACTCGTCCCAGAGCAGCTGCCATGGCGTTCTTTTCACTGCGGTCCATCTCTGCAAACTGAGGATTTACCTAGGGCCGATATTAACATTCGCGCAACGTTTGATCGAATGAGGGACATACCTGTCTCAGGACTTGCAAAAATGAGACGGGACTGATGCTGTCTGTCGTTTTGGTCATATTGGTATATAGATCACGAAGTGAGGCTGGTAGTGGTGTTGTGGATTGGAGAGCAGGTCTAGGGGATATTGTTAACAAAGTTATGAGAAAAACGAAAGTGTAATCTGATTTACGTGGTGAGGGCTTGTTGTAGTTCAGGGATTGACCGAAGGGCTTGAACAGTCGCGTTCATGTAGCATGTATTTCCCAAGCTATACAGACAATCCCGTCAGCATTAGGCCTGCTGTCACCATAAAGCCACATAACACGTACTTTGTGAGTCCAACAGGTTTGGCAAGCTGTTGAAAGAAAGTGAGACGAGTAACACAGTCTAATCAAAGCCCGAACATACTGCTTCCGCAAGCTCAGAGTCGTCCATATCTAATTCGACACATCCACGTCAATACACATGAAGATCGGGTACAGCAGGAATCATACCTTCAAGGAAAACTATTGGCTTTGGTGGTGGTTTAGGCAGGTCACCGGCAGCACCAATAACCATAAAAGTTTGTCCCTGTGAAAGGTCAAAGTCAAAGCATCAATGATGGTGCCAAAAAAGTACTATACGAGCGCTTACAGCTTTGGGGGCGAGCTTCTTCCATGATGCATCGTCCTACAGAGTTCTATCGGGTCAACTACAAAGACCAGACACTTAAAAACGCGAAAATGACCTTCAAAACGCCTCCTTTCACCATAACCTTCATGCGATCAGGAGGAACACCTGTAAGCTGATAGATGGCATCTTTGAAGGCTGAACCTGGAAGATCGGGATCCAGCTTGACGTCGTACGTCTTTCCAGCGTGCTTAACATGAACGTCTAGAGTAGTCATCTTAGAAGTGATTTTTTGTTTTTGTGGTGATGGTGGTTACAGTCAAAGAGACGCGTAAGATAGAGATTCGCTGTTAAATCAATGATTAGGGTAGGAGAGACGCGTCATTATCATGTGACTTTGCTCGGCTCGGTTCAATTTGGCTGAAATACGTGTGACGTCAGACTCGCCGCAGTTGCATGCGTGTCCAAGTTGCCTGTCTCGTGTTTTATTTTAACCAACAACTCTCTTTACTCCAACGACTCTGCCCTTGATCCCTCTCTAATCCCTCTATACAATGACCATATAGTAAGTTTTATATTTTATTTGGGATTTAATTCAGAATTAATGGCAATTACAGTTACTCGTTGACTTTCCTGCTCCTAGCAGCAGAGGTATGTGAATTAATTCCAGCAATATAACCATAGCTCATGCAGAATTAGATGGTTACTTTCTGTATTCTAGTGACACCTTTGCCATACACCATCAAGAAAAGCCTCTTCACCTTCCTTTCAACATCACCCATAGTCGCCAAGATCGCATACGGTCTCAAGATTTCCTTCATGTACGGCATTTCTTATCTCTCTCTTCGCCACCCGAACTAACATCTATCATGACCTCAGTTTCATCGCCATACTCTTCGCTGACGCCCTTCAACGCATGTTCCGTGTTTCTGCCGAGTCTGACCTTGCAAAGCAAGGCAAAGGAGGAATGGTCAACGACATTCGTACAGATACTAACATTGCCGCGCGTAAATTCTAGTACGTCATTTACTCCGCCTCAGCAAGTCAACACTCTAACCAGCCCATCTCTACTAGCGCGCAAAGAAACGTTTACCTGACTGGTTTCTGCCTCTTCCTTTCTCTCGTCCTTACACGGACGTTCTACATCGTTCTCGACCTCATCCACACTCAGGAGGAATACGCCAAGCTCAAGAAGGTGAACACAATTACTTCCACGTCTTTCTACCCAATTCTGATATTTTTAAATAGTCCGGTGCCTCCCCTGACCAAAAGAATGAAATCGAGGCCTTGAAGAAGGAACTCGCAAAGGCCAAGCAAAACGAAGGTACGCCCTCTCTCTCTTAAAATATACTCAACCCTCAATGCTCACAGGTCGTCGCCAGAAATCTTGAAGGAACAAGCATCTCAGAATTTCCAAGAATACGACAGACTGGCCACTGAACTCAACACCTTGTGGGGCAACAAGTCCAACAAGAAGTCTGATTAAACGGGTACTTCACTTAACTGTAATGGACATTCGATTTCATCCTTTTCGCATTTTTGGTGCTTGTCATCTATTACTCTTAACTTCTGGGAAACGGTAGTTCCTGTAGCGTTGCAGGATTAATGTTTAACTCTCTCTCTCAATATTTGCACTGTTGTCAATATACTTTGCTGTGCTTTCGGATACCCTCAAGGGTGTGCCTAAGTTGTTTGAGTCCTTGTCAACAATTCCGTGTTGCACCTGAAACGGTTCAGGACTCTACGTGTGATAAAAACAAAAAATATATCTCTCTGTCTGGGAGTCGAACCCAGCTTTCGCGCGTATTGAATACTCAATGACAGGCGCGTGTACTAACCGATATACTAACAAAGACATGTTATGTGTTCCTAACACGCGTCCATGGCCTGGGCGCTCTACGTCCTATTTTTAGGTCCTGTGTCGCGATCGACCTAGAGTCTGATGGAGTCTTCAAGGTACCAATCGCAATATTGAATGAAGAATCCACTTTTTGATTTGTATATTGGGTAGTAATGACGAGATACAGCAGGCAATGGGGAATATAACAGATGCCAGCAAAATATTAAATAACCAATGCAAAAACCCACGAGAAATGAAAGCAGCCCGAGTCCTTGATGAAGAATGCGAAAAAAAATAATGCAGGAACTCAAGATGAAAGAAAGGAATGCGAATAAAAAATATGTACAAGAAGGTTGAAGTGCGGGTGCCATCGTACCTAGTTTGAAGGCTAAGAAAATAGAGGTGGTGGTGGTCTGGCCGAAAAATAGGGGTGTAGAGAGAGTTGAGCAGGAAATGTGAGTAAAGGGAATATGGAGGGGTAGGGTAACTTGTAAAGGATGGAAGAAAGCGAAGAAGGGTACTTCTAGAGTATCGATATAGTAATAGACCATGACGCTGTAGTTAGTCGATGAAATAATAGGTTCCTATGTATATAGTCTGTCGAGACGAAAGCAAAATAATGATGCAATAGAAAATATAAAAAGGGTCTCTAGAGACAAGAAAAGGTGTCCAGAAATAGCAAAAATGGGGTATCACCCATCTAGTGGGAGATAAGTTATTGGTACCTTAAAGGGTACTAGTTGCTACTACTACCCATTGTAGCAGTATGGAATGACAAGGTGCTATTAGGACTCGCGCTACTCGGACTCGGACTAGAGCTCGAAAGAGTCGTATCCGCGCTCCCACTGCGACGATTCGAACGCCCGATAACCCCATGTTCATTCACCTCAAGTGAATGAGGTGTCAAAGGCCGCTGAGACCCATTAAGCACACCCTGCTGCTGATACGATGATCCCGTGGTCCCGAAGCTCGACGGAGTGTCCACCCTACGCATCCCAAACGCCGTCTCAGGTCTCGCATGTGATAGCAGCTCACCATACTCCGAAGGATACAATCCAGGACTAGGCGGGCCCGCATCACTCAACGAACCATTCGCAGAGTGACCATTTGAGTAAGATGTCGACGTCCTCCTACCAGCAAGTAACTCCGCTCTCGCAGACAAGCTCCCCGCCTGACTCGGCGGCCTACTACTCGAATGGCCCGTTTCGTATTCGGTGCCGCTCCACGACGATCTCGTCGCATACGAAGCTAGGGTATTCCTCGTCGGCGGTCGGCTGTACATGCCATTTAGCATTATACTCCCATCAGCGCATCGGGTGATAGACCCTGCCCCGATGCTGCTGCCCACCTCGCCGGATCCCATAGATTCGATGGTTGGCATACGCCTGATAATGCCGTTGAGAACCCGGATATTTTCGTCTGGGGGGTAAGGCATCCCAAATTCGTTGTACCCCAGAACAGGGGGGACGGGAGGGAGATTGAACAGGCTCGCTGCAGGGACTTGGCTCACGGCACGGGGGCTTTGGCCACTCAGATTGCCGACCCACTGCTGGCCTTCGTCGTCGTTATTGAAATGTTCGTCACTGTCGTCATTATGGTCATTATGTTGTTCATCGCTGTATTCGTGACTGGGCCGGGTATAGGAGGAACGGTTATCGGTGTGGTGACTTGAAAGGTGTGTGTGGTGTGAGCTTTCGCTGGGGTTTTCAGGGGAGGGTGTGCCCTCTGAGCGGGAAAGAATGATGGCTTCATCAGTCTCTCGCGTAATCTGTGCGATGAGAGATCTGAACCGGTCCACAAACGAGGTGGTTTCGCGGTTGTGAACGAGGTTAGGATTACCATCAAGCTCTGAAAGACTTGGCGGCCGTATATAGATGACTGGTTCTGGACGATCCCCCGCAACAGGGGACGGAGATGTCTCTCCTGAGAACCCGGACGAACGGGACCGAGCGAGATGGATACGGCTACGGTGATGCGAGGATCTTGGAGAGTCGAGTTGACTGCTAGAAGTCGGGGACAAGGTCGAATCAGAGATTTGCCTTTGACGGGAAAGATCATGGGTCGAGGACACAGGGATAATGACTGAGGATGATGAAAGGACTATGGCACCCCTTCCAATTCCGTCAGGACTGGACATCTCGTCTGAGATGAACGGAGAAGTCGGGTAGGTGTCTGAGTGAAAGTGCAGATGTGAAGTTGGGCGCCGCGGTTTATCTGGTTGTATGAAGCAGATCGTGTGGTAGGCAATCTAAACCATTTATTAACAAAGTGGCACATTAAGAATGAGATAAAGTTAAGCTCACAATGATCACAAATGTCAATACCAGTCTAAGGGCAGAGAGGGCCAGCCACACGCCCTGGGGCGGAGAACGGTCATTGCATAGTTTACTGCTTACGGACCAGACGATATCAACGTCAATATGGCATCGGTGCTGCATATCAGACTGCACTGATGGTGGGTTTCTCCAAATGAGCACTAAAGCAAGGTTGACTGTAGCAGGTCCCAGGAGGCTAAATGAAGAGAGAACATGTAGCAATGTGCGCCCGTGACGTAGATGTCTGTCGCCTACGCCGTGTCGCAGTAAGCTGGGTCGGAAAGCGGCGAGCATAAAGGATAGGGAAGTCAGGAGGAAGGAAATGCCGGCAGTGATTCCCAAGGCCAGGCTATATGATTGGCCTACGGAATCATTATAAAACGTGAACGCAACGAAATATCGCACAGCATTGTATGCCACCCATGTTGCTGTAAATGAAGATGTTTAATTTCTGGTTCAAGCCGCAGTAAAGCAAATGTTTAATGAACAATTTGGGAAGAAACGAATGAAATAGCAAATCCAAGCAAAGGAATCACCGCCGAAGACGTTCACAAGGGAGATTGACTTACCCATGACCATTTCCAAAACAAACTTTGACCATCTCCACCGTGATGATGTCCTGCGACGAGCAGCAGGTCGTGCTTTCCAATACGCATTAGCTTCCTTTTCGGAAACAGCTTCTAAAGCTGGTGGCGTGCCCCACCGCATTCGGGCTGGTGTACCGTCGGCATCTCTCGGTTGTTGTGATATTTGGTCGTAGTAGGCCACTGCCTCTGGTGACGTGGGGTTTAGCAGTGGCTCAGTCGGTTGTGAATGCATAGTTGTGCTGGTATGGAGCGTGGCACTGGAAAGTGTAGAAACATTCCGCGAATGAGAAAGATTCCCCCTTCCCTCTGAGGAAGGATATACGTCGTTGTTAAGATAGATATCGGCCATCAAGACAATGTTGTTGGTGGTCGACTAGCGTTACCATCCGGTTGAAAATAGATAGTATCCGTGCTCGGAGACGGTCTCTAAGTGTAAGAACTACATTTCCTTCATTAACACAGTGCACATAATAGTCAATTAAAAAGAAATCAAGTACCAGAATGGACGAATAAAGTGACTGTGCCAACTCCTGATGAGAGTGGTTGGAAAGGAAACTAGAAAAGGTCATACGCGCATCCCTGAGCGTGAACGGCTTAAGGGGTTGGCTTGGCGTCTGGGAAATTGAATCGTGATATTTGGCAAAGCCGTCAAAACCAAATAAAGTTGACGCCCACCCTTGATCATCATCACGCATCGCGATGCGGAAGCATGAGCCGATCTCTGTGGCGACATGCATGGGGTAGTTTGTTAAAAGATCAAAATAAATTGATGGTCTATGCACATATCGGTTTTTTACATGCAGAAAGGGTGTTGTCTGCCGCGTGCCTTTCCGGTTGCGAGCCAAGCGATTCAGACCTTCGGGGGTCGCGAATTGCACATTGCCAATTCAAACATAGAAGTCACGACACATTGCAATTTGATAAGATAAAGGGTGGAAGTGAAAACATCCTGACAAGAATGGAATGAATCTCAGCAATTGACATTATATACGGAGAAGTGGGGTGGCTACTGAGCCTGAGGATGGGTGAGATAACGACTCGGAACCGGGAGGTCTGATCGAGAATAATCCCCCCATATCAAGAAGAACCACCACCAGATGACAGAGAAGCAAGATATCGTAGATTTGAGTGCAAATACCACGAGCACGAGGGTCCACTTACGATTACACGCCTGGACGAATTTATCTGACTACTTCGTACCCCAATCTTCATAAACTGAGTTCTCGAAGATAATCACAAAAGCCACACTGAGGTTGGACCGATAAACCAGGTTATCAAGATGCAAGTCTAATTTCTTCAGTACTGCCACTGTAAAGACAGCTCAGGCACATGTTCTACTTTTACATCCGCAATAGACGTATGTCCCCGCCTGTCTATCAGACGGTGCTGGACGGTGAGCCATGGTGGGATGTGGCTCAAACCAGGGGTTTGAACATGGCAGCTTGGGGTAGTCCCCCATTTTTTGTGCCTTTCAGGCGTGACGTCGCACGAGGACGATGGCAGGGACAGTGCATTCCGAGAATGCAAGGCATGTCGTCGCGTATATCATGGCTCTTAAAAGCAAAATCTAGGGTCGCCTAGTCCTTCGATTCATTTCGTCTTACTCATCTCCAGTCCTAACTTTCAGGCTGGCTCCTCTCTTCCACGGCCTGGGCTGTCATGCTTCGCATAAAACATATCTCATTTTGTCGATATTAAAACAAGCTGAAATATATGTCCAAGCTCGTGGAAGGCGACATTCTCTGTATCAACCAGTCAACCCCATAAACCCGACGTTTGTTATCACTTCACTAAGACGGTAGCGTGCCTGATTAATGTAGTTGTCCAAGACCTCTTTGATGGACTATATATGTGTCTGGCTCCATGTATACTCTCCCATCGGGGACTTACTCTTTTCCGTTGGGTATTTCCTTCTAAAAGTGAACATCTAGCGTTGGGGTTCAGCAAGACCGCCGATATCCCCATTCTCAAAATCAATCCTTTGACAACTACTTCCGAATCACATTCCCGAGGCCCAATTAAATGTAGTTAGATCCCTCCTCGCAAAAAGGGCCTAAAGCAAGTACATGAAAACATCTGTCAAAATTGTCTACATATATAGTTGGATGAGAGA